TGCTGGATCATGGAAAAAGCTAGGGAGTTCCAGAAAAACATCTACTTCTGCTTCACTGACTATGCTAAAGCTTTTGATTGTGTGGATCACAGCAAATTGTGGCAAGTTCTTAAAGAGATGGGAGTACCAAACCGTCTTATTTGTCTCTTTAATGCGGGTCAAGAAGCAACAGTGAGAACTGGACATGGAACCACTGATTGGTTCAAAATTGAGAAAGGAGTTCGGCAAGGCTGTATACTGTCACCCTGCCTATTTAACTTATATGCAGAGCACATCATGGGAAAGGCAGGGCTAGATGAATCATCAGTTGGAGAAATATCAACAACCTCAGATATGCAGATGATACCACTCTCATGGCAGAAAGTGAAGAGGAACTAAAGAGCCTCTTGATGCGGGTGAAGGAGGAGAGTGCAAAAGTTGGCTTGAAACTCAGCAGTAAGAAAACTAAGATCATGGCATCCAGTCCTCTCACTTCCTGGCAAATAGATGGGGAAGAAATGGAGGTAGTGACAGATTTTATTTTCCTTGGCTCCAAGATCACCACAGATGGGAACTGCAGCCAAGAAATTAAAAGACGCTTGCTCCTGGGGAGGAAAGCTATGGCAAATCTAGGCAGCATAGTAAAAAGCAGAGACATCACCCTGCCAACAAAAGTGCGTATAGTCAAGGCTATGGTTTTCCCAGTTGCAATGTATGGCTGTGAAAGTTGGACCATAAGGAAGGCTGAGCGCCGAAGAATTGAGACCTTTGAATTGTGGTGCTGGCGGAGACTCCTGCGAGTCCCTTGGACTGCAAGGCAGTCAAACTGGTCAGTCCTAGAGGAGATCAACCCTGACTGCTCTTTAGAAGGCCAGATACTGAAGATGAAACTCAAATACTTTGGCCACCTAATGAGAAGGAAGGACTCCCTAGAGAAGAGCCTAATGCTGGGAACAATAGATGGCAAAAGAAGAAGGGGACAGCAGAGGATGAGGTGGCTAGATGGAGTCACTGAGGCAGTTGGTGTGAGCTTAAGTGGACTCCAGGGGATGGTGGGGGACAGGAAGGCCTGGAGGAATGTTGTCCATGGGGTTGCCATGGGTCGGACACGACTTTGTGACTAACAACAACAACAAAGCTTACTAATTTATATGGAATTTACAGTCATGCAAGTAAGCATAGCATTTCAGCCTAGCAGGTCAGTTCTCAAAGGTATGAGGGGCGTTCAATGTATACTCAGTATCGGGTTGATTTGCTATTGATGTGGCTAATTTAATTATTTCATTAGCTAATGACACTATCTGAGGGTATACATGTAAAATTTCAAATAAGTGTGATCATTAGTTCCCTAGTAATCCTCAGTGAAAGATGACCATGATGACTTACGCAACAATGTTGAAGAAAATCGAGCACAGCACTGTGATTAAGTTCCTTACAAAACAAGGAAAAAGTCAAAAAATAATTCACTAAGAGATGGTGGCCATTTACCAGGACTCTGCACCTTCATTATCTACTGTTCAAAAGTGGTCAAGTGAATTTAAAAGGGACAGAGAAAGCATTGAAGATGACCCTCACTCGGGTGGGCCGGTTACTGCCGCTACGAAAGAAAATGTGAAAAAAAATTGAGAAACTTGTATTGGAAGATGCCCGAATAAAAATCAAAATGTTAGCAGAGATGACAAACATATCCATTGGTACCATATTGACTATTTTTCATGACCATCTTAACCTTTCAAAGGTCTGCAAGATGGGTGCCGCGAATGCTCATGGCACCTCAGAAACAAGTGCGAGTCGAGTGCTGTAGGGAGTTTTTAGAGCTCTGTGGTGAAGATTCATTGAGTATTTCTGACTGGATTGTTACTGGAGATGAAACTTGGGTTCATCACTATGACCCTGAAAGTAAGCATAAAGTGGCATAAAAATGGTGCTGATCCTCCAAAGAAATTCAAAGTCACTCCATCACCCGGAAAAACCATGGCCACAGTGTTTTGGGACTCAAAGGGAATTGTATTGATTGAGTACACGAAAAAAGGTGAAACCATAAACGCAGCATCTTACGCAACCACTCTGCATAATTTAAGAGAAGTAATTACAGAAAAAAGGCGGGGAAAACTGACCACAGGTGTGTTGCTTCTTCACGACAACACGCCCGTTCACACGGTGCGTGTTTCGAAGGCTGCTGTGTGAGACTGTGGTTTCGAATAAATAAACCACCCACCCTATAGCCTGGACCTGGCCCCCAGTGACTACCACCTATTTAAAAAAAGATCTTTGTAGAAAGCGATTTTCCAACGATGAAGAGCTCAAGGCGTCAATTAACACACATTTTTTAGACAAGGAAGAAGGGTATTTTTTACAGGGAATTGAAAAGTGAGTTTCTAGATGTAATAAGTGTATTGAAGTTATGGGGATTACATTGAAAAATAAAAATTATTTCAATTTATTATTCCTTTTTCTTCATGCTGATACCGAGAATACATTGAATGCCCAATCCCACCGGATTCAGTGGGATTTATTCCCAGGCAATGATGCATAAGTTTATAATCTGAGGCTGCAATCTTCTGCAGGTATACTTGGTCCAATCCTATGTAAGCTTTTCCAATGTAAGTTCTGCTGAGTGTTCTGGAACAGACTTCTTTCCTATTTCCGCCAAGTTCCCAGTGCGCCCTGACCTGAGAATTAGCCTGATTTGAACACACCCGAACTTAATTCGGGGTAACATTTATAGGGGGATGCGTGCCTAGGAATGTAACCCAAAGAGTTACGGTAGGGCAACGCTCTCTAATCCTAGAATAACCATTCCCAAACCTCTAGATGTGCTGAACCACAACTCCCAGGACGCCTGACCATTGGGGCTGATGGGAGCTGAAGTAGAAAACATCTGGCGGCAGGCTGCACGGGCGGCTTTTTCAGCCTATGGGAGGAACGACCCCTGCTGAACTCGGCGGAGCTGCTCGTCCGAGTGCTTGCTACGCGAGCAAGTCCGATCCAACCCAACGCGGCTCCCAAGCCGACTCGCGCAGAGAATTGCGCTGCGCGGGTGGATTGGTTTTCAAAGCCGCCGCCGCTTCCCTCCCCTCGGCCCGTCATCCAGCGGGAGGAGCCAGCCTGCCTTGTGACCGGAAGGGCCGGGGAGCCGCCCTCGGGGGAAGACTCAGCTGCGGCGGCGGCGGCTTTGCAACGGCGGCGGGAGAGCCGCTGACAGCGCCGGGGCCTGGAGCGAGTGGGAGCGCCTGGCCGGCCGGCCTTGACCGAAGCAGAGCGCGCAGGAGAGGAGGGCAGCCCCGGGAGGCCTCGGCTCGGACAGACGCGGTAACGAGGGGCGGGTGGCCCTCGCGGCGCCTACCTTGCCGCCGTCCCCCTCCGCCTTCAGCGCCCGCCTTGCCCTCCCCTCCCCTCTCCCTCGCCCCCTCCCGCCGCTCGCCCGCCCGCCCGCCGCGGTCCAGCTCCCCGCCGTCCTCTCCCAGCCCGGGGTGGGCGTGGCGTGCGGGCTTCTCGCGGGCCGCTCGCCTGGCCTGGCTTTGGCGGCGTCCGCTGTGGCCGGGCGTGATGCAAAGCGCCAGGTCCGCTCGCGGGGTCGCTTCGTAAGGCTACCCGAAGGCTCGGCCTGTTCAGGCCCTCCCAGTTGAGGGCGAGCGAGCTGCGCCTGCCCGGCTGCTTGCAAGACTGGCGCGGAGGCTCCGGAGCCCGCTGCTTTCCCTTAGGACGAGGCTCCCGGGTGCGTGACGGGGAAGCTTGTGCGTGCTGGCAGCTCTGCTTCTCGCAGCGTTTGGGCCCTTTGGACTGGAGGTGGAGGAGGAGGAGGAGGTGGAGGTGGAAGGGTTGTTCTGCTGCATTCTTGCCCAGCCTGGTGCCCTCCAGATGTTTTGGCCGACAGCTCCTAGCGTTATCTTGGCTGAGGCCGATGAGCATTGAAATCCAAGGCAGGAGCGCACCAGATTGTGGGCGACTGCTCTTTTCTTAACCCTTTCGATGTGCAAAAATAAAGGAATGCCATCATGTAGGCTTGTTTGTTGCTCTCTTTTAAGATTTCAAAGACAAGACCTAAGGCAGGTTTGGGGAACACATGGTCCTCCAGATGTTGGGCTGTAGCCCTCATTTTCTCTTACCATTAGCTCTGCAGGCTAGGACTGATGGGGGTTATAGTTCAACAGCATCTGGTTCAGCTGTATGTTCTCGCCCCTACTCCTGCTGCGGTGTGTCATATTGGAGCAACAACACATGAAGGCATGGTATAATCTCTCAAGAAGATGCTGTGCTTTCATTCTGATTAACAGGAATTCCAACTGGAGGAACAGAGATGTTGTATTGTGCAAGAGTAGGCTGACTTCTGGTGTGTGTGTGTGTGTGTGTGTGTGTGTGTGTGTGGTGGCGGCTCCATATGGCTTATTTCACTATTGAATGTGTGTTGGGCTCTCAAAATCAAAATAGGAGTTTCATAGAATCATATGGAAGCATAGAATAGTAGAGCTAGAAGGGGCCAGAAGGCCATCAGGTCCAGCCCCTTGCTGAGTGCAGGGCACCAGGTTAAACAATCCTTCTCAGATGGCTGTCCAGTTGCATCTTGAATATGAGGCCACAACTTTCCTAGGTAGTAGACTCCATTATTGTTAACAGAAAATTTTCCTGATATCTAGCCAGAATCTGGCCTCCTGTAACTTAGGGCCATTATTCCATGTCCTGCATTCTGTGATTCTGTCCTTTCTCTTTGCGCCAGCCTTTCAAGGACTTGTGGAGTGCTATCACATCTCCCCTCAGCCCTAAATGTGCCCAGTTCTTCACTGAAGCAGGCCCTCCTCTGTACCCTTTCCTGCTTATCTTCATCTTTGTTAAACTGTGGTGCTCGGAACTGGACACAGTGCTCCGGATGAGGCCCAAATAGTGCTGAGTAAAGGGGAAAGTAAAGTAGTGTGGATGCATTTCTGAGGAATACATTACATTTTGCTGTAAATTCAGACTGTACACACTTTGTAGGATACTACAGTTCCCTTTCCTTTTTCACCCCATAGCATTCTGCAAGTTTCCCTTCTGTTGGCTATGCTAGTGATTGGTGGGTAGGAGCCAGAGAGCAGTGGCAGGCTCCTTCATTACATGAAGGGCCCTTGGTGGATCCCGGAGCTGGCTTTGCCATATGTCTGGCTACTGGCATCAAGGGGAGCTATGGCTGGGTGCCTGCCTATGGCCTCACCAGGATTCTGCTGATAAGTGTCCCCTGGAGCTTTTTCTTCTCTCCCTCTCTGCTTTTTCACTTGCCTCTTGCTCTGCCCCAGAGAACAGCTGTGGGAAAGAGGAAGCATAATCGATGCTAGTGCTGACTTTGTAGAATCATAGAACAGCAGGGCTGGAAGGGGCCAGAAGGAGCCATTGTTTCCAAGTGCCTGCTCAGTGCAGAATGCATGGCACCAAGCTGAAGAGTCCCTCTCAGGTAGCTGTCCAGCTGGATCCTTCATGCTGCTACTGCAAGAGAGCCCTTGACCTCCCCAGGTAATTAATTCTGCTGCCACAGTGTTCTAACGGTTGGGAAGTTCTTCCTGATGCTCAGCAAGGATCTGGCCTCCTCTACCTTGGCTTCCTTATTCCATGTTCTGCACTCTGGGATGGTCAAGAAGAGGTCCTGGCTATCCTCTGTGTGGCAACCTTTCAAATACTGGCAGGGTGCTATTATGTCTCCCCTTCTCAAGGCTAAACTTGTCAAAATCTTTCATCTTTCCTCATAGTGCTTCGTTTGCAGTCCATGGATCATCCTTGTCCTCATTTGAACCCTTTCCACCTTGACCATATCTTTTTAAAATTGGTACCCAGAACTAGATAAGGCATTCCAGATAAGGCCTAACCAGTGCTGAGCATATGATATTAGTTCATCAGATATTTGGAAGTGATACTTCTATTAATGCAGCCAAAATGGCATTCATTTTTTGGCAGCCACATCACATTGTTGGCTCATATTCATCTAATGATCCTTAACAATTCCAAGATCCTTCTCAGTTGCAGTATTGTTGAGCCAAGTATTCTCCATCTTGTAATGATGCCTTTGGTTTCTTATTCCTAGGTGCAGAACTTGGCATTTGTACCTATTAAGATCACCTTGAATCTTCTTTCTGTCTTTCAAGGTATTAGCTATCCCACCCAGTTTGTGTGATCTGAACATTTGAAAATGTTTTCTGCACTTTCTTACCGACAGAATTAATAAAATTGTTGACGAGAACTGGCCTAGTACTGACCACTGCTATACGCCACTTGTTACCTCTTCCCAGTTTGAGAAGGTGCCGTAGATGAGCACTCTTTGAGTTTGATTTGGTAGCCACCTGATAGCTGTTCCATCTACCCACTTTTAGCCAGGTTGCTAATCAGGAGAGCATGGGGCACTTTGTCAAAAGCTTTGCTGAAGTCAGGCTATAGTATGTCCACAGCTTTCCTACAGTCCATCAGGGAAGCTACCCAATCAAAAAATGAAATCAGGTTAATCAGGTGGGATTTGTTCTTAAGAAATCCCTGTTGGCTTCTGTTAATCATTGTATTGTTTTCAAGTTGTTTGTGGACTGACTGCTTTGTAATCTGTTCTAAAATTTTCCCTGCGATTGATGTCAGACTTAGTGGTATATAATTCCCAGGTTGTGGCTCTTTTCTTTTCTTGAAGGTAGGGACAACTTAGACTTCTCCAGTCATCTGGTATTTTCCCCGTCCTCCACGATTTCTTAAAAATAATACAGTGGTTCTGAGAGTTCTTCTGCCAGCTCCTGTATGATACTAGAATAAAGTTCATTGGGCTCTGGAGATGGGAACTCATTCAACCCAATGAGACAAAACTTGACCATTTGCTTATCAATCCTGAGCTGCCGTCATGCTCCTTCAGCATTTATTTCCCCTTCATCTGGAAGGTCATAGAACTTCTGTTGGGATAAGACTGAGCCAAATTGAATGCTTCTGCCTTTTCTTTGTAGTATGTAGGATTTTGTCATCCACACTGAGTAGCTGAACCTCCATTTCCTTCCTCTGTCTTTTACTTTGGACATCTCTGAAGAAGGCTTCTTGTTGCTTTTAGCATCCCTCACTAACCTGAATTCATTCCTACCTTTAGCCTCCCTGATGCCTTCTCTGCAGTTCGTGCTACCTGCCTGTATTCTTCCTCTGTAGTCTGGCCCTCCTTCCACTTTTTATACATGTCCTTTTTTGTTTTCAGATAACCTCTAAGCTTTTTGTGAAGCCACACAGGCTTCTTCTGTTGTCTTCTACCCTTTATTATTGTTGGACTTGTTTGTGCCATGAGAATTTGTTTTTTCAAGATTTCCCATGCATTTTGGGCTCCTATTCTCGTCACAGTCATTCGCCATGGGATTTTTAAAATCATTGTTCTGAGTTTATTAAAATTGGCTTTCCTGAAATCCAGGGTACATGTTTGGCTACATTTGGCTTTTGCTTCCTTTAGAATCAAGAATTCAGATTTAGCATGGGCACTTTCCCCAGAGTTCCCGCAGTTGCCACATAGTCACTAGGTCTTCCTTGTTGTTAATATCAAGTCAAGAATATCTATTCCTCTTGCTCCTTCCTCCACTTCTGTTCGAGGCAGTTATTCTTTCTTGTGTTGGCATCACCTTGGCATCATCTCGTAGTCACAAAAAAATTTCATTTGGAGAATTTCCCCCCTTGTCTATTCTTCTTCCAAGAACTGGAAGGTTTGAAGAGAATACAAGCCAGTGTGGCGTAGTGGTTAAGAGCATGGGGCTGGGACTCAGGCGATCTGGGTTCTAGTCCCTGCTCAGCCATGGAGCCAACTGGGTGACTTGGGCCAGTCACAGACTCTCAGCCCAACCTACCTCACAGGGTTGTTGTTGTGGGGATAAGGTGGAGGAGGAGAGATGATGTAAGCTGCCTTGAGTCCTTTGTAGGAAAAAGGCAGGCTATAAATCACAATATAAATATAATACAATTTGGGCCCCAAAAGTTCTTGACTTTCCTCCCTAGAGTTTCAAAGTCTATGTGAGTTCTTCAAAGCTCCACTGGGCAGTGCCATTTGTTCCCACATGTATAAGAAGGAAGGGATGCATGTCAGCCTGCTGTATGAGCCTTGGCAATCTTTCAGTTATATCACTAATCTGTCCTCCAGGGAGGCAGCATACCTGACGAGTCTATGGGTCATCCTGGCTTTTCCACCCCACTCAACAGGGCGTCTCCCACAACTAACACTAACACTTAGAATAATATCAAGAGCATGTGCACCTCCTTTTTTTTAGAAATGCTTTCTATAGGGATGTGTGTATGCAAAAGCTTTTATATAATGTTACATATTGCATTTTGAAGGCGTTTAATCTTTATAATACGCGCAGAGAGCTTTGGCTGTTGGGTGGTATAAACAGAATGACTGACAGGTGTTTAAAATGCTTTGCATTCTCAATCCACATGAAACTGGCCAGTATTATTATCCCTTTATTCCATTATGGGACTGAAAAGGGTGGCTTGTATTTGTGGCTAGGGTTACGCATTTGCAATTATGCATTTCCTGAATCCTACTTGTAGCTGCTACACTATTTCTTCCTTTATGTTTATGCATACATGCATGTCTGATGAAAGCATTGGTAAGACTGTGAGCCTGTACCCAGCTACTTGGGAGTATGCCCCACTGAAATCAATGGGGCTTCTGATAGATTTGTATAGAATTTGTTGTAAAAAGACAGCCAGTGGGGAGTGTTGGTTAAGATGTTGGATTGGGGAACTGGGAGAACCCCATTCAGGCTTGAAGTTCACTGGGTGACTTTGGACTACTCACTGACAACCAGCCTAACCTACCTAACAAGGTTGTTGTTTTGAGGATAAAATGGAGCTTACATACACCAGAGGAAAAAGGCTACTAGTGATAATGATGTATGGCAATGAGTGACTCAGTGTTTTAAAGAACCTATTCTGAAAGAAAAACAATTACAGCTACCTATTATTCTTTTAAATCTGTATTATTCTGACCACACTAAGGCTATAATAATAAAATAACATATAAAATAATAAACCGGGAAGTAAGCCCCTTGAGCATAGTGAGCTTATTTCTGAGTAAGCATGTTGGTTCAGTTTCTGTAGGATATGCTTGGTATAGACCCAGGTGGATCTTTGTCACCAAGGTCATCAGGGGACATGGTCTTGGTGCTTCCATATGAACTCTTGGCCTGGTTGTTATCCACCATAAGAAGAGCCCTGGGGGTGGCAGCTCCATCTCTTTGGAACTCCCTGCCTCTGGAGGTCAAGCAGGCACCCATATTGTCTCTTGGAAACTATAATTTTGTTGTCTAGACGTGATTTTTACTGCTAATTTGGTTTCTGTTTCTTTTAAAACTGTAACACTATGGGTTTTTTCTTTTTCTTTTTCTTGTTCACTGCTCTAGAATCCACTTAGATATAGAGAAGTATATAAATAGTGTAATTATTATTATTTATTTCATTTCTTTACCATTAAGTCACCAGAACACTTTCAGCAATTTGCAACAACTTCTCAAACAGGACCATAATACCATATTTTTTAAAATACCAAATTAAATATTTAAAAATGTCATAGCTAAAACAGTATTAGATGCAGAGTAGCCCTGTTAAAATCCTTGACATGGATTCCCCCATGAAGCCAGTAAATCGTGCCTTTAAACGCTTTAGCATGGAGGGCTGTCTTACCTGCTGCTAAAAGGATGACAGAGTTGGCACCAGGCAGGCCTCAGTGGAAAGGCCATTCCACTGAGAAGGCCCTCCCTCTCATTGCCACCCTTCAAGCCTCCCTCCGAGTTGATTGGATGTTGATTGTAATATTTGGGTAGATTGCAGATAGAAAAGGCGCTCTGTCAGAGATTTGAACAAACCGATTTCCGATGTCCCGTTTGTTCTTCTCTGATGCACGGGTGTGAATAAAAATGCAGCCTCTCTTTCTTCACTCAGCAGGCCATCTGGACAGTAGGATGAGTGTCAAGGCCTTCAAGCTCGTCCCTGCCATTGAGCGGGAAATGCTAATGGGCGACAAAGCTCCAATCAGTATTGCATGTATTGAGTGCTGTGGAAGGAACCTCTACATTGGAACTAATGACGGCTCTATCTGTCACTTCCTCCTCGAAGAGAAGAATTCACCAGCAGACAAAACAGGATTTTCGGTCACCAGGCAGCTGCATAAATACCTAAGTGTTCGGAAGGCCGTGGGAGAGTTGAAAGCAGCTTCAGCCCTTAACAGACTTCTGGTTCTTTGTGACAATACCATCCTGTTAATGAACATGATGAACTTGGAGCCCATTCCCACAGGTGCTAGAATCAAGGGAGCCGTGACATTCACGTTGAATGAGAACCCTGTGAGCGGGGACCCATTCTGTGTTGAGGTGTGTATCATTTCAGTCAAACGGAGGACCATTCAGCTGTTCATGGTGTACGAGGACAGAGTTCAGATAGTGAAGGAGCTTTCCACTCCAGAGCAACCCTGCGCTGTGGCTATAGATGGCCACTATTTATGCCTTGCTCTGTCTACTCAGTACATTATTCTGAATTACAATACTGGATTCTCCCAGGATCTTTTCCCTTACTCTAGTGAAGAGAGACGACCCATTGTGAAACGAATAGGCAGGCAAGAGTTCCTGCTGGCTGGACCTGGAGGATTAGGTAAGGATGAAATGTCTCCTTGCATCCCATTTAAAAGGTTTTTGCTTTGTCTGTCCTTGAGGGTTTTTCTTCAATTTTATTCTAATCAGATTTGTGCAGCTCTCTGGGAAACCTCTGTCTGGTGTCAATACCTTGATTTTGCATGGCATGCTAGGGTTTTGCAATGGATTGGTGTTGTCATTAAAGATGTCCAGTCTTGCCTGTGACAGTTCTGTAGCAAACACATTCCATATGATGGCTTATATTATTTGGCTAGAGTATGTTTCTATGCATATTTAGATAGGAAAAAGGTCACACAACTGTCAGCAAGCTCAGTTCACCTACAGTAGCATCTCACTGCATGTGAACCAGGGCCTGTTTATCACCCACTCCTCCTTTTCTGATTAAAGTGATGTGGAACTTCTAAGGTGCATATGCGATTGACATTGTTTCATAGTCTAATAACATAGCCAATTCTTGCTCAAATGATCTCAAATTTTAACAAAATGTGTAAAAACTAACTAATGTTAGTTACGCAATGTTACGCAACACATGCTACAGCGTGTTTGGCAGGAGGTGGACTACCAACTTGATGTGTGTTGTGTCACAGGCGGTACGCATATTGAACATTTGTGAAGCTTTGTGAAATCGGTTATAAAATCTACATCCCTTTGAATATCTTGTTTGAATTTTGATAAATAAATCTTTTATTGTTCAACATGAAGCCTATTTAATTTCGTTTGCCTGGGACATGTAGTTACTCAGATATTCACATTTCAAATAATGTCAAATTTTTTGGGACACCCTGTATAATGCATGTTGTAGGGGAAAAAAATCCCAACTTGTGTAAGATGTGTAAGATGATGGGTATAAGTGACTGACCAAGAAAGAGATTTTGGCATTGTGATAACAACTTGATGAAAATGTCATCCCCTTGTATGGCTGCTCTGAAGGAAGCCAACTTCATGCTAGGCCTAGTTAGGAAAGGAATGGAAAATAGAACTGCAAATATCAAATTTACTTTATACACATCTATGGTGCGACTGCAGTTACAATACTATGTACAGTTAGGGGGTGTGCTTTATAAAATTTCCTGCCCTAGCACCAAAATGACTTTACTGGCTTTAGATATTATGCATCTTGATAGAATGGGTGAAGAAACATTTTTCTGTTCCTCCTGAGATAGTCAGGCAAGCTCCGGGACCACTGTCCTCCTCTCTGAGAATAATAGAATTTTCTGTACTGATATTTTGAAAATGTTAATAGCTTTTCCTTCTAAAAGTTAATGATATAAATTGTTAAATTAGTGTTTGTGTTATATGCATGAGAGGGACTTCTTACTCATTTAGGAGTTTTGCAAAACAAAACCAAAACTTAGTTGAAGCTTTGCAGTACATTAAGCAATATGAATAACATTTTGAAATCCAGGTGATCAGCTGGTTGACTGATCAGCATCTTGTTCTGTATAACCTGACAGGTATGTTTGCAACAGTTGATGGCATTTCCCAGCGTGCACCAGTTCACTGGGCAGAAAACGTGATTGGTGCTGCCCTCTGTTTTCCTTACGTAGTCGCTCTTGACGAAGAGTTCATTACAGTGCATAGTATGCTGGATCAGCAGCAAAAGCAGACACTTCCCTTTAAGGACGGTCATATCCTTCAGGACTTTGAAGGTACTATCTTTTGATCGTGAGCTGGTGTATATGTAGATTCCTTTTTCCACTTTTAAAAAATAATTGTGGTGGAGAATATCTAAGTCTGCCTTGTTTATAATATTTAGACATGCAAAAGATGGGGACATGCTAAACCGCCTTTTCCAGTCACAGTGCTGGTGCAGATGACATTGTGTAAGTGCAAACCAGTGCAAGTGCAGTATCATTAGTGCTTGCTAGGAGAAGGGGGAAAGCCACCCTTGGCCACTGGGTACCAACAGTAGCTTGCCTCATTTCCGATTTGCTGCCAAATGCTGGTGTATTGGTGATGCAGTGTCATTAGTACTGGTACTGTTTCAGCATCGGTAGGATACAGCAGAACCCCCATATCCGGGTTGATCAGTTCTAAGCACCCCAGCAGTTGCCTGACACCACGGATAATAGCAAGCACTATATTATATATGCAGTACATTTCTTTTTTCACAGTTTCATGCATTCTTACCTCAGGCTATGATTCTTTTCTTGCCCTATTAAAGCAAGAAGTTTTGCTTACAGGAGGCACTTTGCACCCTCTCTTTGGCACTTTATGGCTTCTCTTTTAGCTGAGGTCAACCGCATTTAACTGCAAACACGGTAACGGAGCCAGCGGATACGGCAGTCCTGTTCTACCGTGCTTTGGACTACATACCCTGATATCTGCATTCCTTCATCCTGCTTGTTTCCAGCAAACATATCTTTATGGGCCAAATGCTTTTATTTCATATGCCCAGGACCAATTGGAGTGAAGGAAACCTGGATGCTACATGTAATCAAGGGTGTGAATGTTTGTGGCTTATAGAATTTGTCAGCTGTGGAGAATGCAGGGAAGGCAGTGAGGGGGTGCAGAAGAGCACCCCACCACTATGAAGTGGGTTCTGGCTGTTCAAGGACAGAGTCCCCATCTTCTGCTGGAAGACTTGGCCTAAATAGATTCTTTAGGCATTCAGTGGGCAAAGCTGTTTAATTTCCCAGTTTCATTCCTGAACAATTAAGTCCAAAGACGTGTGCCTTTTAAAACTATCACTAATATATGTTTGCTTGTGGATTTTGTCTCTTAAAACGATTTGGACAATGAGGAGTCAAGTTGTTTCTAGCTGTATTGTTCTGTGGGTAGATGCAGCCTGATGTCATTTCATCCCCTTTTCCTCTTGATGCCTTTAATCTCAGTGGAAACCATGAGAGGAAGGGGAAAACATGATTGTTTGTGCTGTGAACTCTTGTGCCTTCTCACAGGGAGAGGCAGTCTATCTGGATTGAATTACACTTTGCGAAACAGGATGGCACTTAATGTAAGATTTGTAAGATACAGCTTACAAACTCACTTGGGATATTTAAGCTCTAGATAGAGAGCTTGAACAAACTGAAAAATGTTTCTAATTTGTTGTCATTTCTGGTATACTGATGTTTCTGTTAGGCTGGAAGTGACCTTTCTATGAGTAGGAGAGATTTTTTGCACGGTGGTAGGGATCTTTGGCTCAGTGCCATTATTCCTACTCCAAGAAATTCTTCAAAGATTCAGAAGAAAGCACTGCCTGTGATAGGAAATGGAAGATAATGTGGAAGTCCCCTGGTGTTTTTCCATGTAAGAGTTAGTTCAAAGCAACTGATCCATTCTATAAGTAATTGTGAAACATCAGCAAATCTGAACTCCACCAAACTGAAGTTTCACTTCTTCAAAAGTGAAAAATATACACAGCAAACACTTGTGTGTACAAACTGTGGTTGACCATAGCTGGTAGGGATGTGTGAAGAATACAGTAAGCCCCCTTGGATTACTCTTTGCCAGTTCTGCACCTATGCTCACATTATGTGGTGCACGTCAGGACTTCCATCTCAAAACCCCCCTGCTGGTCCAAGTTCTGTGATATGAGCAAATTGGACTGGCAGAATTTGCTCAAATCACATAATTTGCATAACTTGGAAGCTGAAAATTAGGTGGTGCAATTGCGGCCCAGCTTAGGGGTGGAATTTCATGGAGAAAAAGTCTCAACCTAGTTCTGATCATTGGCAGGAAAGCAATCAAGTGAGCCAGATTTTCCAGTTCTGGTACATCCTTGCTTGCTTGTTCTTGCATTCTATACCCCTTCACTAAATTAGCAGCAAAGATGTTCAGAGTAGAATCACATGCCTATTTAGACAGAATTAAATTTGGCTGGCTGAAGAATACTGGAAGTTGTGGGACATTCACAGGATTTGTCCCTCAGTCCTATTGCTATTCAGATTTTTGCCAAGTACAGCTTCCTACTTTGTGGTAAATCTGTTATCTGATAGAAATGATTGGGCTCTGCTGCACATACCTCAAATAGTGTATTTGCTCTTGTAAAGGCCATATGTCTTCTTATTTTCCTTTTCTTTTTGTTTCATTGTTGTTCCGTACAGTTGCAATTATAAACTGGACCTTTTCTTTTTCAGGCAAAGTAATTGTAGCTACCACCAAAGGAGTATACATGTTGGTGCCGCTACCTCTGGAAAGACAGATTCAGGATCTTTTAGCCAACCAGAGAGTTGAAGAAGCTTTAGTGTTAGCAAAGGGAGCCCGAAGAAATGTTCCAAAAGAGAAATTTCAGGTCTGTGAATTTTAAATATCGAGCTATGTGAAGATGGCAGAGTAGCAAACAAGCTGCGGCGGTGAAGCTTCATTTTGATATTTGATAGCATGTGGTTTTGCAAAACAGGCATAATTCTTGGTGCATCTCTCAGGATGCACTCAGTGAAGGGAACTATAAGGAAGCTGTAGAACTGGGCTAGGCTGGGTGTGTGAAGAGTTGAGTTTGAAGAATTCCGGGGGAAATGCACCTTTTGCTTTTGTAACTGGAAAAATGGCAAAGTAGTGCTTTGCATCCTGTCTAACCTTGCTTTCAAAGTTGTCACATCCAAGCAAATTCCACTGATTTCAGCAGGTCATTAAAAAATGGGTAGCTGGGGATATGCACTTGTCTCTTTTGTTTTACAGCACGTCCCAGGAGCAGCTCCTTCAAAGTTTGTATAGTATTATGTCTGAAGACCTAACCTTGGGTTATTTATGGATTAAACAACTCAGCTGTTAATCCAGTAACAAGCCATGGGTTAACAGCAGGTCTGTTTAGCTCTTAAATGGCCTAGTAGCCTGGGTTCACACATGGCGCTGCACAGCCTACAAAGGAGTTTTTTGTGGTTTTGTTGTAAAGCAGAGGGGGCAAACTTGCTACGAGACAGCATTCCCTTGTAGCCCATCCATTTTTAAACTGATGTGTTGTCATTCCATATGACCAGCCTCACTGTGTGCAATATTCAGGTAGTGTCCCTCTCTTGACAGAAGACTTCTGTCAGCAGAATGGAGAGGGCTGATGAGGGCAGTTCTTCCCCTCCCACAGTCCTTTTGCCCCCCACCCCCCGTATGCATTTTTACCCTGCACTGCTGAAAAGATTCCAAGAGTGACTTATATAAAAGCAGTTAGATACCACATTCACGGCCCTGGGGCTTATAATTCAAAAAGGTATCACAGCGGAGGGAGGAAGCAAAATCATGCAGCGGCTCTCAAGTTCTGACGACAACAAGCATAAATGGAAACACTTGAGAGGAAGGGAAGCCCAGAGGAGCTGGTGTCTCAGCAGAGCTCGTGAAATGACAGCGCAGTTGGACAGGAAATACAATACCCACACTGTGGCTTTGAAAGACCAACAAATGTAGAGAGGGCTGCAAGATGAATAGCTGACTTCGTGCTGTTTTAAACCACATGTCATTTTGTATTGCCTTTGGCTAGACAAATTTAATTAAATTACAATAAAATAAATTCAGAAATACGTATTAAGGTTTTGTTCAGCAAGTAGTGAGTGATTGTTTAAGGCATAGCTCAGGGTCTCGTCACATTTCTGTTCAATTGCATGCCAGTGCTTATCCTCCTATATCCCTGTATGGAGACCCATCTTCTTCCTAGGGTTTTAAAAATGTAGTAATGCTGAACTGGCATATGTCATCTCAGTTAATTTGATACTGAAGGCTAGCAGAATCTGTTGGTGGGTCTCAGGTTCATGCTGAGCTAGCCAAGTTAAGCTTGCTGTGATCAAATTAACAAAAAGGAGGAATAAAAACCTGAATAGGTTTGTGGTTGCAAACATGTCAAAACATTTTGAAAAGCAAGCAAATATTGTTGCCTTTGCTTTTTCTGTATGCTGCTATGGGAGATTCAGCTATAGAGCAGCTCATAAATGGCAGGAATGAATGCATCTTGAGTCAAAGCCATTTGTTTATAAACAGTATTCTACTTCCCTGTAATATCTGCTTTGAAGTAAAATGCTTGGGAAGCATTTCAATGAAGGAGAGAGTCTGTATCCCAGATGTAAGAATTAGGCTTGCGTATACATGCACAATGTATGTGTAACCAGTTGCTCTTTTCCTGCCCACTGCAAAAATATGTATCAGTGCATGGGAGTGATCCAGTTGCTGTCCTCTGTAAAAAATCTTAGATTTGAAGAAACCTTGACTGCATGGTTCAAATGTCATTTGGGCCATCTTGAAGCAGTTATTTTTGTGGGCATTTTTCTCTGCTGCATCTGGCATCCTTTTGCAGAACAGGCTGTGGCCTATGAGGGCGATGTTTCTGCTTCACAATCTCCGGATGGCTTTCTGGTCTTTTCTATCTTGCTGGTTCCTGCATATGATTGAAAGCAATGCTGTATCAGTGGGAAAAGTTAGAAGCCCAAACCTGGCTTCTTCCTGATTTCAGTGAAACACAACTGGTGCATCAGACACTTTGTAATACACAGTTTGCATGTTTAACATGCCTCTCTTTCTTTCTTTTGCAGGTAATGTACAAGCGAATCCTGCAGCAAGCAGGATTTATACAGTTTGCACAGCTTCAGTTCCTAGAAGCAAAAGAACTCTTCAGGTAATGCTTCCTACAGGGTGTGAAATACTCCTGCAGGCTTGTCAATCAAACAGTGGTTAAATCTACTCCTGTGCCATCTAAGGGCCTTAAGTTCTGAGACATTTTATTATGCTTAGACTGAAGTGCTGAAAAGGCGTGTGATTTGTCTCTCTTTTGGATTAGGTAGTGGCAACTAATGGAGCAAATGCTTTTCTAACATATACCCAAGCCCTGTTGGCACATATCTTCTCTCCTGTATACTACAGGACTCAGCTGCTCTGCTCATGGGATTGTCTTATTTAGTTGGGGATTCAACTGATGCAACAGACTTGAATTGGCATCAGTTTACAACTTTTTTTCAAAAGCACATCCAAGGGTGTCTCATCACTAAGGCACACATATAAAGGACTTGTGCTTATGCACAAACACAAGCTTGTAGCAGTAGCTGCAAGTAGCTTGGGTCTTCTGTTTCTGGCTTTTCCCCTCCTTGCCAGGGTAACCATTTCTGCGAATTGCCAGAGAACAATCACATTTCATCAGGTCTGCATGCTCTGGACTTCATGCTCCTCACCTGTTATATTCCACACATGTATAACTAAGCCAGGGCAGAGCAAGCCAGCATAACTGCTCTGTTGACATTTAACGGATTACTGGGAATGTAGGCAAAAGGGTGATTTTATTTTACTGATTTCTGGTAGCTACATTTCAACCAACAAAATGCTAGGAATCAGTGGTACTTTTTCTTTCATGGGGCATTATCTTTAGTGCTTAAAACCTGATTTGCACATAATAGCAAGGCATCTTAATTGAGTTTCCCCATGGGGCTTTCTGTTTTGCTTTTAAAAAAAATACAAACCCAGAGCCATGTTCTTTCGTAGCATTTTGGATGGCATGTCCCAGTGCAGTCCATTCTTGCTGGGTTTGTACATAATGAGAAGCTATGATACAGTCACGCAATACCCTGTGTTCTCAAAATGGTGGCCATTTCCACAATAAATACCGTGCAGGGAAATCCACTCAGCATGGTATTTGGTATGGGTGAATTGGCTCTTAGATTCTGTTTTCCTCCCTCTGGAGCTATAGAAGAGTTTGTGTCTTTCTGTTAGGAAGAAAAACTGCAATTTTTTGCAGGGTGGTGGTGGGGAGGTAGGCACAGTAATGTCAAAATATCTTTATGTCCATAGAGATATTAAAAGTAGATTAAAACCTAAAAGCTAATAAATTTGTTTTTCCTGCCATCCTCCCATTTCCAGACCAGTAGAAATATCTTGGAATGGTTTTGAAAGGTTCTTCAGCTGAAAACAGCAGTTTTGAAAAGTTCTTCAAAGCTTGGAAATAGTGGCCTGGTTCAGAAGATAATACATCAGAATGATAAGGAAAATTCTAAGTTCAGGTCCACCTTATGGTTAATACGAGTGAATTAGATGCCTTCTGGTTTTTTAGTCAAAGGCTTTTTGGTTTATTTGCTCACACGGCAAAGGCTGATGGTTAGATTCCCACAACTGCCTTGTATGAGAAATTGTCTGGTATCTGAACCCCCAAGGATTTCTTGGATTAGGGTTTTGAAGCCTGCTGCCCGCATAGAATCTCCAAGTAAATCTTGCCACTGTGCTTCCCTTGCTTAACCCTTGTTTCCAGCACATACATGGAACAGCCACTTGAATGTCATAGTGTTGTTGTTGGTACATTATTCATGAATCATTCCTTATCCTAAGTTATTTCTCGATTTGGAAGGATTTTCATTTATGGGCAGCTGTAACAGTATCTTTTTTCTCTCACCTGGAGAGCACAAAGCACAATATCTTCTTTCTCTGCATGTGCAGGTGTGTGGTGTGTGCCTGTGTATACTTTTTATTTCTTTTCTGCTTCATCTAGTTTGACATTGTAATTGCAGAAGCAGCCAGCTTGATGTCCGGGAGCTGATCTCTCTCTACCCCTTCCTGTTGCCTTCCTCCTCCTCCTTCATGCGATCGCATCCTCCCCTCCATGAATACGCTGATTTGAACCAACTGACACAAGGGGACCAGGAGAAGATAGTTAAATGCAAGCAGTTTCTTATGAGCTACTTGAGTGAAGTTCGCAGCACTGACATTGCAAATGGCTACAAGGAAGATGTTGATACAGCTTTACTGAAACTCTATGCAGAGGCCAATCATGGAAGCCTTCTAGATCTTCTACTCTCTGAGAATTTCTGCCTTCTCCCAGATAGTGCTGCATGGCTGGAAAAGCACAAAAAGTAAGCTTAAATGACCATCAGAAAAGTTGTTCCTTCTTAAAGATACACAGCTATTTTCTGCCTATTTTCCCCCATGTTGAATTAGGAGCCCATGTCCATCTGCTGCAAGACACCTTTCCTTACCAATTATTTAGTTTTACCTGTAATGTTAATGCTGGGGTGGGAGAAATACAGACAGAAAAATAACATTACGACAAACATATTTCCCTTGCCAGAGCATAAAATCATTTAGAAGTTCACTTTTTCCTCTCTTTATAACCAAGAAATTATTTCATTGCATATTATCATTTGCATGACTCAGAAGGAAGCCTAATTTTGAAGGGATGCATTTTTCCTCTGGAAAAATGAACCCTCCACACAGAAAGCATGAACTATTTTTTGAGCTGTGTTGTGTCAGTGAAAAGACAGAGCAGTTTGAATTGAGCGAGGCCTCTGAAGTGCCAGTGCTATTCATTCTTCCCACTGATTAATGCTGTCCTGACTTGAAAAACAGGCAGAGAACTCTCAGACTCCCACCATGGGGACAACAGCACTTCTTATGCATCTCAGTTGCTAAGACTTGAATGCCTTGCCTTGTCTTGTACACGGGAAGAAGAGAATAAAGTCAGGTTGCTGGAACTGGAGGTTTGATAGGCTGAGATGGATAGATCTGGACAATCTAGTGCCCTCCACTGTTCTCCTGATGCAGCCCCAGCCAGCATCACTGATGGTCAAGGGACTGTGGGAATCTTGAGTTACCTATGTTGGGCCTTAATGGAGAGCACCAGACTCTCTACCTGGCCTTAGTGGTTTGTTTGAATCCTTCTGCCATCCAGTCGCCTTGCCATGATGTAGAAGGCTATGAACCCTCTTGTTTGTTTTCAGAACAAGCATGTAATCAGAGTGTTCATTCCTTGATGTAAGCAGGGATGATGGACCTGAATGGGGTAGGGAGCTCTCCCCTTGGAAGACTCTTGAGTTGGATGATGTCACTGAGCTTGGACACACCCACTGATGTCATCTGCCTCCTTTCCATGGTGGAAAAGTGGAAAGGACTTCTCCCCGTCTCTGTGCCTCTTTCCAAATGGAGAAATAAATTTGGCCATTGCTGCGAGGAATCTTCAGCTCTGTGCAGTGCAAATTAGCACAGGGATGGCGTGCACTGTGGGAAGCTGCTGTTCCCTGCTCTGGCAAAGAAGGGGCTGCTCAGATCAGAGGGAAATGTGGGGATGCCCTCAGGACCTGGACGTTTGCCAAGGAGGTTTCGTGGGCCAGATGTGGAACCAGGCTAGGCCTGTGGGCCAGAGGTTCCACATCCCTGATGCCTAGAGATTCACTATTTTATTTCCTTTATTTGATTTTTGCACTGGGCTATAGCTGAAGCTGTCTGTCTGGCTCATGATGATACCCAATTCAATACAACTCAATAAAAACATAATATAAAATTTCCCACATTCAAAAATGTAGAACAAACAGCTAAAATACTTAAAATAAAATATTAGATATGATTGAAGTGACTGATGTAAATGCCCCATGATATACCTAAAAGCAAAGCATAGTCTTAAAGTGGCACCAAAAAGGTACCAGTGTTGGCACCAAGCAGAGCTCAGTGGGGAGAGCATTCCATAATCAGGGAGCCACTACTGAGGAGGAGGTATCCATCGTTGCTACTTCTGATATCTGGAGGACATACTCAGAGAATGCTTCGTGAATGTTTTATGAAAGATCAGAAAGAACATGGTCTCAGCTGGACAGTAGCTCCTGGCCAACAACGTTAGACCCTTAAGAGCTGCTAATGTATGGCAGGCTGCATGGGTTTCTGTTTAGAGTGCTGTTCTCTGCTTCTACTCTGGGTGCTCCTGCTGTAGACACAAGCGTAGGAGTTAGAAAGCAGAAATTCAGCCTCCTTCCCCAGGAGTAGAGTGAGAATACTATAAACCTACCTTAGGAAACCCTGCAAGAGTTGAGCATAGAAAGGTTGTTGTGCACAACGCTTTATGAACACCAATTCATTGTTTGAGTCACTTTTACATCCATTTTGATGCAGGTTTTTTGCACTTGGACTCCTGTATCATGCAAATGGTCAAGATGCCGCAGCACTGCAGGTTAGTATGCGAACCCGTGACCAGGAAGGCAAAGCAACGTGTCAGTGCCTCCTAGTGAACAAAAACTTACTGTGTAAGTTCTAGTTTAAGCCACTTTGAAACTGTCACATGTGCAGAAGCTAGAAACAGGTTGATGTTCTTGCCTGCATAACAACATTTTAGCCTGGTGAAATGGGAGCATTTGCTATGATTGGCTTACCCTCGTGTCTCTTCCCTTTCTATATAATTCACAGAGCTTGTTCTAAACTGAGCAAATATCTGACTAGAAACACTGAGAGCTGCATTCTGGTCCATCTGAAGACAAGTGGTTGAGGAGGGTTAATTGTGATCCTTCTGCACGGGGGAATGGATTTATTGTAGGAGTTTGAAACACCAAATAGCTTGCAAGGGTCAATTTAGCACAAGTCCTTGGATCCAAGGTTTTTGTAAGCTACCGTGAAAGAGCAAATGCCTGTATTTATTAAGTCCTCAAGTGGCTATTGGTCATCCTGACAGCTTTGCACTTATGGGGCCATTATATTGGAAGCAGCAAGTAGGTTGCAAAGATCAGGCTGGGATCCGGCTCTCTTGAGGCTGCTGAACTTCTTTTCCGCGCTTGGCCGTGCTCAGGAAGCTAGCCAAGGTGAGATCAAGTCCACAAATGCTCAGGAGCGCTAGTGCCTTCCTTACACCAAGTGCATGAAGTATGAAACCCTTTGCACGACGTGTGCAGAGCCCGCAAGTCAGTTGTGTAGAAGTAGAGTCCTGCTTGTATGGAGTGGGTGACTCACTTGGACTTGGTTCCTGCGGGATGGCCATGTGAACGCTCAGTGCAAGGCAGGCCTAGGGCAGAAGGGAAGCTGGCAGAGGCTGGAGTCCATGGTGCTGAACTGAGGAACCCCAGCCGATTCCCGCCCCCAGACTGGATTCCTCTGACTAGAAGTACTGAAAGTGGGTTTAGTTCTTATTAAAACTTCTGTAGAATACTGCCTGTTTTTTATTTGTATAGTTGTGCAAGTAGAATGGGGGTGTGTATCTTTTTCTAAAGGGAAACTGAAAAGGGGCAAAAAAATCCTCCAAAGAGGGATCATCCCTGGCAACGGGAAGCAGAGCTATGCCCCCTTTGACAGGGAAGGACTTCAGCTCAATGCCACAGGACGTGCTTTCCACACAGAAGCACCCACCTCTGAACCCTGCCATCTCAGGCGGGGCTGGAAGAGACTGCATGAAATCCTGGAGTGCCACCAGCAATCGGTTGACAGTTATTTATTTTAACTAAATATTTATTGGCTGCTGTTCAGGGCAGAAATCTTTCCAAGGTGGTGTACATAATAAAGCACACATACTTAAAACCAGAATGATCTTCAAAAACAACAAAAGCACAGTACAACAGCAAAAAGAGGATAAAGCAGTGATCAAAACAGCAGCGGTAGCAAATATGTCATGGGAAAAAATATGGTATCTTGAGGATATTCTTAAAAGTCTTTTGTAATGGAACTTGGTGGACCACAGGTGGCGAGTTGGAAAATGTTCATTCTCATGGTCACCCACCTCATTGCTTTCATGGGGCGCAAATGAGGAAAGACCCTTGCTGATCTTAAAGTGCAGACAGACCAATAAAGGTGATGGTGGTTCTTCAAGCAGCTTGGTCCTCAACCTTTCAAATCTTTAAAGGTCAAAACCAGCACTTCAAACTGGGCTCGGAAACATGCTAGTAATCAGTGCAGCTGGTGCAGTAGAGGCTTGGCAGGACTGAATTGCCTTCTCCCCACCAACATTTGGGTGGCCAGATTCTGCACCAGCTGCAACTTCTGAACCATCTTCAGAGGCAGCTCTGGATGCACTGCTAGGCTGGATGGGGCAGTGCTCAGACATTAGCAGGCAACCTCTCACCTTGCTGCTTGCAGTGCATCTTAGTTGTGTGTTGTTTCTTCCTGCAGTGGCCAGTAGTTGCCTTTTCCTGCTTTCCTGGCACAGAGTCTGTTTGTGAACAGATAGGCAGTTCACAAACAGGTTGTGAGATGCTGCCTTCCTTGCTTTCGAGACAGGGATGCTGTCCAAAGTGGCAGTCCCATTTAGCATTCTCCATCACTTTCTCCCCGTAATGCGTAGGCACAGTAATGCGGGAAGCTGACTTGCACCAAATCAGCCTGCTGGTCATCTAGCCCACTGTTGTTCGTTCTCCAAGGCTTTGGCGGTTCTTCCTAGCCCTACCTGCAGATGCCAGGAACCTTCTGCCTGCAAAGCCGCTGCGCTGCCACTGGGCTGCAACTCCTCCCAAGACGGAGCACACGCAATTATGAGTTTTTCCGGACAATGCAGGGCAGTTTTGGTTAAACATTAAACAATGCAGTTTTGTTTGCATGTAATGACAACTCAGCAGATGCGTTGCTGTGAGGCATGGTGCTTACATGTGACCTCTGTGCTATGGTTTAACCATTGGTTGTTAACTGTGAACAGCCCATGGATTCTCTTCCTGGATTGGTTCATAATTAACAACCTGTAGTTAGACCATGGTTCATGTAACAATAACCCACGATTCAATGACAACCCCTACTCTGGGTAGCTGTTCTGTGCAAACCAGCCCCAAGGCTGTCTGCCTTTTAGGAACTGTGAATTGTCCTGGAAGTGATTCTGATTGCTTTATGTTTCTTCTGTATTTCAGTTATGGATAAAAATTGTTAATGGAGACATTCAGGACTCTACACGCACAGACCTTTATGAGTATATAGTAGACTTCCTTACCTCATGCTTGGACCATGAGTTAGTGTGGAAATATGCAGACTGGGTTTTGCAACAAAGTGAGGAGGTTTGTGACTGGATTCTTTTGGGAAAATATTTTAAATGCTGTTCTTGGATATGTTTTCTAGAGTGACTGGTTTGCACATCCTGTTCTTCTCTTAAGTCTGTTCATACATAATTCCAGCATCTCACTCTTTAGCAAGAAATTCACTGGTTATGAAGAAACAGGTGCAAAATATTTTTCAGTAGTAGTATAGTGCCAACCAAGCAGTGTGTATGTAAGGGTGATCAGAGATGATGTACAGTTCTGTTGTGAACAAACATTCCTTTTATTCTGAAGGTTGCATTTCTGTTGCCTGGCGATTCCATGTTCTCAGAGATTACAGAACACAACATTTTGTACCTGAAAACATGTAATACTTTCCCTAGAAATGGCGTGCATTGTTTTTCTTCTTACTGTTGCATAAAATGATTCAGTTATTGCCAAAATCTGTTAGATATTGTTCATGACTTAATAAATCTCCTTGTATCAGTATGAAACTTAGAACTAGTTGCAAAGGGGGTCATTTTGGACCCCAGACAAAAGTGGCTCAGGAGTGGCCAATGTCGCATAGAAATGGCACTCAAGATTTTAAGATGAAATCTCAAATTACCTGTACCTGCTAAAAGCATAAGGATAGTTTTCAGCAAGTATGGGTAATCTAAATTTAATCTTTGCTGAGGTTACGCACAACAGTACATCTGCATGTTTGTCTTACTGACTTTTGCTGTATGTAACAATAGCCTGTCCTACAAATTTTAAACCAGCATTAAAAAAGGTTTTCCTCAATGGCATTTAATTCTTTTTGCTGGAGGCTTTACCTCAAACTCTTGGCTTTCAAAAGAGACTAAGATTACTTGTAGTTAACCTTCTTTTGTGTCATTGCTTGGGATATTTTTGAGAAGTATAAAAGTACTCCACAAAATTCTTGCGGAACCTTTGGGACATATTCTTATAGCATGCATGTTTTGGTTCATAGAAAAGTGTAAAAGGCAGGAGATTGAAATTTGGAAATTTTTAATCAGAAATTTTGATGATGTTCTAGAAGGACTATCCTATTTGTCTACCTTTGCATAAATTACATAACTGTGAGCTACGGGAGGCCAGGCACCCCAACATGCAAGATGAAGGCAAATGATAGTCCAAAGAATTGCTTCTTGTAAAGAGGGACACTTATTTCATTGTACTGTGTTTATATTTCATTCAGTTGCACCTTTTGGAGCCAGGTTTTGTCACTTAGCACCAGAAACACTCTGGTGGGCTAAATACCTCAAGAAATCAACAGCAGGTACAGCTGTACCCCTTGCCTCAATGCTGTTGTGTGTCAGTGGGCATTTATGCTTCTTTTCCACTGAAATATCCATTATGCATGCTGGTTACTATGCTTTTAAGGATTGACTAGGGAGCCCAAGTATCCTTAATCCTTTCTAACATGTTAAAGCATATGAAGCAATGAGTTCAGTTAACTTGGCACCAGAAATTTAAATTACAGTTCTTAATTTCCTAAACACATCTTGGTTTTAGGTTGGAGTATACATTTTCACTAAAAGATCAATGGAAGAGGCACAAGAGAAAAACAGCTTTCATCCAGATGATGTAATCAGCTGCCTTAACAAATATCCTGTATCACTAGTAAAATATTTAGAATTCTTGGTACTAGAGAGAAGAATAAAGGTAAGCTGGTTTTGTGGGGTTTTTGGAAAATTGAAAACCATGTGTGTGCAAGAGTGTTCTGAACTTCTGCATAACTCAGAAAATCCCAGTTGTTTGTCTAGTGCAGCTTTCTGGGGCCTGGCCATGTCGCAAGGAATTATGGTCATTGTAGTTCAACGCAAATGCAAGACACCAGGTCCTGGAGGGCTGCTCTGGATTGTTGCAGGGCCCCATTGTTAATACGTAGCTTTAAATGCCCCAACAGTGCACCCCTTGCATGTTTACTCATGCTCTAATTACACCTGTTACTACAGGAAGGAAGGTTGATATTTTAAAACTGGCTGGCAATTATAGTACAAAATGCACATAAAGCTGTCATTTTGGTTACCAAGGTGGCAAAGTAAAATAAAACAAAGAAAAGAAAATGAGCTTCCGTAGCATTTGCTTTCAGAAGCCCAGGCCTGTTAGCTGTTGTGGCACAAGTGAAGGGGAAGATGGTCAAAGTGGCATCTGTTTCGTTGGAGATGCTGCGGTGGCGTCCTGCTTTAGGCAAAGGATTGTTCTGCGTGTTCGCCAAAACCCCTCCCAGGTCTGTGATTCTCCGTGTTTTCTTCACGGTCGCTGTGCGCCACACATGGGCTTCGTGCAGAGACTGTTTCCAGGAATGGCGGGGGCCCCTTGCCTTCCTGGTCCTGCATGGCATGGGGAGAGGACCCTGCCCATCCCCTCAGTTCCTTCCGGACCAAACGCCTAGATCAGGAATCACTTCTCTCCTAATGGAAGATGCTGTATTGACGGCAATTCTGTTAAGTTGTACACGGACAGCAGCCCTGTTGAAGTAGCCTGCAAATTATTCTCACTTGTTATATTGATTTGCTGGAAGCCCTGTCTTGGGAATTGCTTACACGGAATGGGCTGATGGTCTTTCATCCCTGCAGAAGGAAAAGTACCACACCCATCTAGCAGTGCTTTACCTGGAAGAAGTGCTACATCTGAGGCTGCTGGGTGCAGAGAGGAGCGAGGAGCTGAACAAAACACAGGCAAAGCTGCGCAGTCTCCTGCAGAAATCGGACCTTTACAGAGTTCACTTTCTTTTAGGTACGAGAATTAAAATACTGTTTATACCTGGGGGTGGGGAGATTTTTTTTTTTTCTGTTGAAGACCCTGTTCCCTAATGTATTGAGGGACATGTGCCAGCAGTGGGTGGGGCTGGATGGAGCCAAGACTGGGTGGAAGCAGGCACAGAAATGACATGGAAGCAAGGCAAGGTTTAGACTGGGCCTCGTGACTCGCAGTTGCTGCCAGTGGGACAGTTCAGTTGGCTGGTGTTGATGCGTCTGTTGCATTGCAGCCAGTTCATGTGTCTGGGTCATCAAGGTCTGAATCCAGCTACCCCTTGAAATGCAGCGTGGCACAGGCTGGTGTGGCCGCAAACCTTCCACTGCTCTTCTGAAATGGAGGGAGGATAGGAATCGGGCATGATGCTCTGGCGATCGCATCACCTATCCTACCTGAAGGACTGCATAGAAATATTTTTTAATAATATTGCTGTGCTCATGGGTCTGTGTCCATCTTGCATGGGTGGTAGATGAAATCAGCGCTCTGCGAATGCTGGAAAAGCCTTTTTGTGACCCCAAACATTGCCTCTCTCATTACATTTCATCCGTCATTAAGGTAACAAACACAATACCTCTCCAGCAGTGAGGGAAATATCAGGGAAGGGCCAAACAAGTAGCGTGCTATAGAGCTTTTCCAGGGCTCTGCTTTCTGTTGCAACTCTTTGCAGTTGCTGAAATTGTTCTGAGGACTGGAGGATCCCCCAGCATGGTGCAAGATGCAGCTGGTAGAGGCAGAATACCACCCCTTCCCTGGCACGCACACACACACACACACGCACATAAACCAAGAGAAATGGGTTGTCTGCACCCTGCCCCAGTGTATTCACAGACATGATGGGCCTAGCATGCTGCTGCTGAGTGTTGGTGAAAATCCTGTGCTTGGTCAATCCTTTGGGTTGCTTTTAGCTTTCAATGATTTGTTCTGAGCGCAAGCATTATAAGGACAGGACTCTGCTTCAAATTGGCAGATAAAATCAGTGGCGCAGATCTTCCTATGGAGTGTGCAATATTATACGGAAAACTGGAAGAGCATGACAAAGCTTTACATATCCTGGTCCATGAACTGAAGGACTTCGCTGCTGCAGAGAACTACTGTGTATGGAATTCCGAGAGCAAGGACTTTCCTTACAGGCGGAAGCTTTTTCATATGCTGCTTTCAGCATATCTTAATTCCAGCACATCAGAACACAAACTGGTCATGGCTGCTGTGGATCTCCTGAACAATCACGCGGCTGAATTCGACGCTCCACGTGTTTTGCAGCTTATCCCTGACGCTTGGTCAGTGCAGCTCCTCTCCTCGTTTCTGACTGGTGCAGTGAGGGAAAGCATCCATGCGCAGCGAATGACTCGGATTGCACTAGGCTTAGTGAAAGCTGAGAACCTTACCTATAAGCATGAAAAGGTGAGTGCACCAGTTTGATAGCTTCATTCACTCGAGTAGTATGTTTCTGCACCGCCTAACAGACAAAATACTCCACTCAGTAGATGCACATGTTGACATCCTTGAGCAAGCTCCTGAATGTTTGCATACTGGATAGAAGGAACACATCTTACACCTCCATGGCTTGTAAATGCGTAATAACCTACTCATGATTTCCCTACATTTAATATGAAACTATTTCCATTTCCTTTTAAAAGAAACAATTTGAGTGTTGGCGGGTCAGTGGCTTGCTATGCGAAGGACTGTAGCTGAGCAGCAGAGCGCAAGCTTTGTATGCAGGAAATTTCGGGCTCGATCCCAGACAGCTCTAGGCAGGACTGGAAAAGGTCTTGCCTGAAACGGGGGAAATAGCTGCTGGTCGGTGTTGGCAATACCGGGTGAGATGGACAAATGGTCTGATTTGCTGTGCTCGTAATACTCCAGTTTCAAAATTGTGGTTGCGTCCACTGCCGCAGCTTGTACCTGCATGACAAGAATACTTCCCCAGTGCAACCTTCTGTGTCCTTCCATCTGCAATGCCTCCAAGTGCTGGGTATTGTTAGGATATAACTGAGTTGTGGTATGGGAAGGCTGAAGAAACAATGGGAAAAATTGGGTGATGGCAGAGCAGGTCGATTCTTTCTCTGTTGGTGCTCCATCAGCTCTCACACACAAGCACGGACGGGCCTTGGGGAACATGGTGCCCACAGCTCTTGACTTAAGGGGCCGAATGTGATCTAGGCCTTGGTGAGATGCCCTCTGTAGGCCTCCTCCCTCAGTCTATTGGCTTGCACCATTGTCACCAGCTGCTCTGGCTGACCATCCTCTTCCCCATCCCTGCTTGCCTTGCAGGCAGCGAGCCAATGAGCAGGTGGTGACTGCAGTGATGCAGAGGAGGAGCTCCTCCGGGTGGTTTTTGTCAGTGGGCCCTGGTGGGGTGTAAGTTCTCACCAAGTACCCCACCTCATCACCAGTGCTGAGTGGTCACCCTTCCAGAGTTGCCCCTCATTGGCTTTGAAATGCTTAGCAGTGGAGTTGGGAAGAAGGAATAAATGCATCCCTCCAACATGAGAAACGATTCATCCAGTTAAATCCTGCCATCCCATTTTGGTGACCCAAAATTACAGCTAGTCTCCCGATGCGGCTTTATACCACTGTCTATTTTGCCTTCCAGAAAGCAAGCTTGTAATAGTTAGATGAGTGTCCTGAAAGTTAACTGTTGGGGAAGCGTATCTAGCAGACCAGATAGCCCCAAATGCAAGGTAAAGTGGATGGCCTTTATGCAGACCAAAACTGCAGAGCCTTCCTTCCCCTTCCTAGTTCGACGCTCCTCGTGTTTTGCAGCTTATCCCTGACGCTTGGTCCGTGCAGCTCCTCGCCTCATTTCTGAGTGGTGTCGCACTGTTCTCTTTGATGTGTTTGACGTCTCCTGTTCTCTTTGAAGTGTTTGACTTGTTTCTCTGCTTTTCAGGTGAAATTAAAAGGCAGCCCAACCTTCCTCTCGGACAGAAAACTCTGCCATGTATGCCAAAGCCCTTTCACCGAGCCTGCTTTTGTCAGGTACCCCAACGGCATTGTGGTCCACACACACTGTGCTGCAAGCAGACTTGTGAATTCTAACACAAACCATCACTTGCCCAGCCCCAGCGGCGGACGGACATGATGTGTGTGCAAGGTGGTGCCCGTTGCTGTGTTAGTGACTCCTCGGAAGAAACGGGGAGATTCTGCTGGATGAAGAGCAAGCAACCAGCAAAGGAAAGGAGTCGTCCCCTGGCGAATGGGAAGACTTCAGTCAATGTGAAATACGGCCACTTAACTGCTGATCCTTATGAATGTAGACAGCACAAGAAATTAGATGTTTATAAAATGAACAAATATTTCCCTCATGGTAAGGGTGAGCGTTCGGGAGGGGAAACCGTTTTTTTTTTTTTTTTTTTAAAGCAAAACTTGCACTGAATTTAGTGATCAGCTGGTCTTGTAAAGAGAAGGGCTGATGAGCAGAGACATCTCCTCCCAGATAGCTCATCATTCTGTCCTTGGAGAAGTGGTATGAAACAGCACTTTCCTGAGGGAGGAGCATAGCTGCATGACGCTCCAGCAGGGCACGTGCATTTCCTGTTGGGACAGGATGGCGAACTTGTTGCGTGCTCTTCGTACCGTTGAGATTTGATGCACTTTGAGCCCTCGTTCTCCTTTCTTCTCTGCATTCCAGGCCCTGTTGGCGCACGCGCCTCTTGCGATTGGCCGTGCTGGGTGGAGGCGAGGGAAGCAGCACGATGGCCGACCCAGGGTCGTAAGTCCCACCGTTGCTGGCACGGCCGATCCCCGTGCGGCGCAGTGCTGAGTGTCTGTTGTGCCGAGCCGTAGCCCGCTGCTGGGGAGGGGCGCAGGGGGCGGCTTTCCTCAGTGTCATGCATTATTTATTATCCTACAGATGTGCTGTAAATACCGTTGAATGACATGGTTTTATATTCCCGACATTCTCTTGAGCAAACACATGTAAATCAGTAATCCCAGGTCTAGCTTTTGAAAAGCCTATTACACCTGCCATCACAAAGAGCCATCGCTAAGATTTCCTGCAAGTAAAGAAATCTGTGCCTCTGATCTGTTTGCAGGAATGGGTTAATACAAAGGGATAAAAGTGCTGTAAAGACATCAGTAGTTGGAGTCTGAAGGTGCTGAATAAGCTTGATAACATTTAATAAATGCTCTCTGGATTCTCAAGTAGTGCGCCAAACTCTTTCAAACTGCCAGTGTCTGCAAAACTACTGTGTTGTTGCTTTTCAGCTTGTAATGTAGTGCAGCTTTGCTGTGTTCCATACACATGCTTATTTATCTCTGCCTCTCCAGAACATTCCTCGATCAAAAAGGAGAAACCCTGGCTTCCTTTTTGGATAAATACATAGAGGAAGCTTCAAATTATTTTCTGGAGAGTAGTTTTCTTAAGGGGAACCTGAACTACACTTTTGGTTCCAAACTTGTAAGTCTTCTACATGATGAAAATGCAGAAGCTTCATCCACACTTTCCACTTGGATGAAAATGGACACGAGTGCTTGTAACACAGAAAAGTGGCAGTAGGGGAGGTTCAAGAATCGCCCTTTTGCTTGGTAGGCAGATTTAGCTCTGATAACTGATAAATGGTTTATTGGAACAGCTATTTTAAAGGGAAACACGAGATCTCTACTGCACCTGATCTTCCTTTTTTGGATCATAACTGACTTGACCCTCTTTAAAAACGTGCGCAGGCCCTTCCCTTCTAAACTTGATATGCACTCAGCTTCATACCTGATCGGGATATCAAGAGGTCTCACTGGGGTTTAGTTACTGGTTAGAGGACAACCCAATGGAATAAGTCACTGTCAAGTACTTACCTGCCTTGGATCAATAAATGATCACAGTTGAGCATTCCAGAGATTAATGCAGTCCTTCCCACACATACAAAGCCATTTCCTTGGAGCAGAGCTGACACAATCCAGCTGCACATGCTTACATGTTGCACTGTTGTTTTTTCTGATAGTAAGCAGCACATCTGATCCTGATTGTGTCCCCCCAGAACTGTAATATGTAGGTGGTCTGGGGTGTTATTCTGCTGAAAAACTTGCCCCTTTCCCTTGCCGCAAGTCATTTTTTACCCGGGGAGGGATGCTACTTTGGTATCAGTGGCACTTTATACCCTGTACAAAACTAATTCAGATGGGTAAAGAATGTGAAAGAACTGAAGCCTCCTTCTCCCGTACCATTTCCCTGAGCCTCATGCAGTCATTCCCCTCCACCCAATATGTGCTGTTAAAAAAATAAGGCCAAACTGTACTTTAGTGGACCATGTAGTGGGCCCTCTGAACTTGTTGTGTCTATTATTCTTAGGCAGCTGCAAATAGACAGACCAGTTAATGCAACACACTGTTCACTAGGTAAAGCTTGCACTTCTATAGCCTCTGGACATGCTGATCTCAGGTGGGACTGCCACTTCCGAGTGCCCTCACTCCATCCTCAGAGCCAGCATGGTTCCTTCTGCACTGGCACTGGGGGAGGATGCGTAGGGGCTACTGGGAACAAGGAACTTCAGCCTTTGTGGCATCTTGGCAGGGCCTCCAAGCTCATATCTGCCATCTAAGTGTTCTGGAGGGACTCCGAAACACTTGGCTCCGTGCTCCTTCTACCCTCTATTAGATGTCTACAAAACTCTGAGTTGGGGAGGTTATGGGCAGCCATTTTAAGTTGGGACCCTAAGGATGCAATCCTTAGTAAATTTAGACAGAGAAAAGACTTGTACCAGCATGCCCCAGTGTCCTATGCAAATGACTGTGCCTTAATAGACACATTGAAATGAGCATAACTTTTGGATACTTGGTTTTTAATTCAGCTGTATGAAACTTATGCTTCTAAGTACAAAGAACTGACACCTTGTGCAGCAGTAACAACAAGAATTCTTTATCTTGTATTCTGGAGAGAAAAGGTAACACCTCAAATCAAAAGAAAGATCAGTTGCATGTCCATGGGAGTCTATGCCAAAATTAATACTTAAGGGAAGAACCAAAGAGGGAAGACAAAATGGAATTGTAATGAAAACCGTGGCCAGGATATCTCAACAAATGTTATTCAGATAGTTTCTTGTAGGGGGAGATACACTTTCAGCAACTTTGTTTGATCTCCTGTATTTGCAACCATTTCCGAAATGTTAACACCTGTCACCTGGCAAAAAGAATCGGCTAGGAGAGCTATCATGTTAACCTTGCAAGATGTAGAACATGTGACACAAACGCTCTATATAGTTAATGCAGTATATGTAAAAACACCTAGGAGGAGCGCCCCAGCAAAAAATTGTTGTAATTAAATCTTGACATCAACACATCTAACAACCCAAACCTGCCTGTTTAGAGCTACTCTCCATTGCTTGTATCCTGGACTGCTGCGACCCTAGGCACTCTTACTGAGAAATACGTTTCTCTAAAGTCAGGACTTGTGTGGATGGTTTACCATAGGCTGTGGCCAAAACGAAGACACTGCAGGAACAACTAAAATTTGTTGCTGCAGGCTACCCAGAATCAATCTGGGTAGGACTCAGAAGTCACATGACAACTGCACACACTGGTGGGGCTGGAACATAGTGTTGTGTGAGACTTTATTGCCAACTGAGTATACACTCCATCAGCTTGAGACTAACATTTGCTAAACAGGAGTATGGCCTGGGTGTGAAGTGGTAATTCGAATGGTTTTCTAAGAAAAACTGATTGTGGCTTGTAACCTGATCTCGTGCTCTTTTTTTTACTGTGAACAAAGCTCCTCTGAGTTCTCAAAGTCTAAACGCCAAAGTGGTTGTAGTGTTAGATGATGCAGGTGACTGCATTTACCCCACTTCTAAACAACAGCCCTGCAGTCCCCATGGAACGCTCTCTTCCCCTCTGACAAAGGCCATCAGCCCTGGGACAGAAGCCTCCCTTGGGGTCAAGGGCTGACAGCAGGGAGTTGCTGCCAAGGGCTGTATCACATTGGAAAGTTAAATCCGTATGGTCCCATCACTTTGGTTCTGATTACGCCTGCTCACAAAACCCACAACAAACCTTAAAAATATTAGACTCCAGTATATCATGTCACATCTATCTTGGCTCTTCTAGGAGGTTCTGCATCATCTTCTCTTGAGGCTGCAAATTCTAATCTTAAGTGGCAGTCAACTGTTCTAAGATTAAGCTCAACATGGTGGGGGGGGGGATGGAGGAATAATCTCTTTTTTCCCCAGGCACTAAAACTGTCCACATATTAATGGGTATTGCTCTACATAAGAAAGCTCTTCCCTAATGCAGATAGTAGACATTGGGTTGAAAACAAATGATGAGTTGGAGCCAGGTTGAATCAAACTTAGGGTTACAGCTAGGGAAACCAATGGATTTAAATGTATCCTATCATCTTAAGTTCCATTGATTTCAGTGGATCCATTCTAAAAAGACTCTGTTTGGGTCCAGCCCAATGGTTTGGTTGTAGGTGTGCGGCTTTTTGATCTAAAAGAATAAAATGATAAAGGCAGCATTGTTACTGGCAGTATATTTGGGAAGAGCAAACTGTGGGTTATTCCTACGGTGAGGTGAGGGCAGCGGGTAACACAGTGTCACTGGAAACATGGACAACTTTTCCTTACAGTCAGTGCATAAAACAACATTGCAGGATGGGTCAAGACCAATGGCGGGAGCAGTGCGCTGCTCCTGACTCCAAATGCGCTTGTTTCTTGTGGTTTACCTTTAGACTGCGGACTGATGCTCGCTGCAGACATACATTGTGCTTGGCCTTACTCTCCTCCTTGTTCGTCCAGGCACTGGAGGAAAGACCTTAAATGTTTTTGGCATGAACTCCAGACAGGCCTCTCGAAACTTCTTGATTCTCCAACAGTAAATGACAGGATTGAACACTGACTTGAGGTAACTTAGCCACAAGACATAGGTGCTGGTGACATAGAAAGAGGAGCTGTAGTAGAACTGCCTGCTGAACACTGACATCAGGCTAAAGACCGTGTTTGGGAGCCAGCAGAGCGAAAAGCCAACGAAAAGGATGAGGATGGTAGTGAAAGCCCTGGTCTTGAAACTCATGTCGACGTTCACCTGATGGGGCTTCTGCAGCCCCGCTAGGCCCAGTTTGCTCACCTGGTTCAGGCAGACGTTCTCGGCATGGTTGTGGATCCGGACGGTGTTCCGACGAACTGTGTTCAGAATGCAGAGGTAAGAGTACAACATGATACTGAAAGGGAAGAAGAAGACCGCCACAATTAACATCACAGCATATGCTCTGTCTGCAGGGAACTCGGTGTATCCTAGGACACACTGCGGAGCCCGGCTGGGGACTTCTACAAAGGTCCACCCGACCACAGAAGGAAAAGAGATGCAGAAAGAAAAGGCCCAAGAAAGGGCAATCATCACTTTGGCACGGTGAGGGTTCAGTTTGTCTTGGCGCTGGACAATGATTAAGAACCGGTCCACGCTAATGATCAGCAGTATGGATACACCTTCCAAGACGAAGAACCAGTACAGCATGGCCGATATTCGGCAGAAGTGAGCCCCAAAGTTCCAGCTTACTGTAACGATGGTAATTGCAGTGAAAGGCATGCAGAACAAAGACAACATGATGTCGGAGAAAGCCAGAGTTGCTAAGAGCAGGTTGATCGCTGAACGCATAGCGGGCTTTTGGTAGACGATCAGGCAGACGATGGCATTGCCGAGGAATCCAATGGCAATCATGAGCAGCATTACTATGGCTAAAAGTACCCTGAGAGAAACTGGCAAGGCTGGGTAGCTGGAGCCTGTCCACTGGGCGCTTGCATTCAGGGCCATGGGGATGTCGGTGGGAGTCTCGTTGCAGACCATCCTTGTGCAAAATCCCGGCTTCCGAGATGCAAAGGCCCCAAAGTCTTCCTGCTAACTTTTTGGCGGTTGCCATTTTCCTGTCACATCAGCCATGCACATTCTAAGCATGATAGTCTGTCAGCAAGAGGCTGTCTGAAGACTTTCTTCTGCATTCAATCATGGACAAACCAGATTACAGCCATTCTATTAAAGAGCGTGTTCCTGCAGCTCTTAGGCATGAATGGAGGTGAAGCCATTTGCAGAAGAATATCTTCAGAGCCTGGAGAACTGGAGGAAAAATACAGTGATAACATTTATTGATTTCCAGGAATACAAACATATTGGTAATTACTTGCATAGCCAAAGTAGAGCCAAGGTGTATTTGAATACTCCGTATAATGCAAAACAATGCAGACATGTTCATTTTGTCATTTACATTGCTAGCTTGTATATGAAATCATTTTCAAATATATCTGTTTGACAAACGGAATAACCAGCCTGGGGAAACTTGGAGACAGCTTTCCAAGCCATAATGTAATGCTGACTCCAACTTTTTATGTTTAAAATGCTTGCTTATTAACATACTGAAGATGGTGTGTGAAAAATACTCAAATCCACCTCTAAAAACACAGGTCCAATAAAAACATGTTTCCAAGTAGCTCTCCAATGCTACTAAAAATTGCAGTAAAATAAGTGCACAACAGAAGTGTACCTGAGAAGTACCCCCACAGTGACTGTGAATTCTGTTTCACACCATTTAGCATCAGATTTTATGTCTCTTCTCTGACCACCATGCCCTTGGGGGCTTCCCGGATGTTATGCGTTTTCTTCTTCCATTCAAGGGCAAAATGGCACTGTTCTAGAGGAGAGCTTTAGCAATACCCTGGACTGACAGAAAGACAAACAAGGGGGTCCTAGAGCAAATCAAGCTATCGCCTAACTGGAATCCACTAGAAGCCAGCACGATGGCTCCACTTCTGTGGAATTCCCTGCCTGCAAAGGTCGGCAGACTGTGCTGTGCCTGCTGCCGTCTGTTTTCCAGGAAGCCTTTCTTGCAGAGCAGCCACTGCTCTTGCTTTTAGTGTGTTGTTTTTATCCTTTTATCTGTTTTAACTTCTCTCATTCCAACAGGCACAGCAAAGTTCACAAAGGAAAAACTGTGTATGTATTAATGTACGCAACACATACCTAATACATATGCTCAATGACCAGACTCTCGTTTTCTTTGACTGGTAATAGAACAAAGGTGATGACAGAAGTGAGGGTGTGTCACAATTTGCCCATGGCCCCTCCCCCTTTGGCTTAGGCTCCACCCATCCTTGCTCTGGCCCCTCCCCCCTCAGACTTGGGGCCTCTGACCAGTTGCAACACCACCACCTTGACCAAATGGTCCTTGACCTCACAACACCAAATGGTCCTTGACCTCACAGAAATGAACCACCTCTGAGGAAGGTATTATTTCTCTGCCCCCAATTATGACATAGCCCAGTCCCCTTTCACAAAAGCTCCCCCTGCATCCATAGCCAATCCTCCCGCAACATCACTCAATGGAGCAGAAGGCGGGTGGTGGCGGGGACTTGCTCCTGTGTGTCTCTTCTCCTCTGCAGACCCCGCAGTCATCCGGGATTCCGACTAGCATGGAGAGCTTATGAGTGCACAACTGTGCGTTGTATCCCTCACTGTCTGTCGCTGTTCTCAGCTGGTGGGAGGTGCGACACATGGACAACAGGGCTTTGCAGGGGAGGTCCCACTGTCCTTGCCAGGCATTGGCCATAGTCTGGGAAAAGGCTCTTGTGAATATCCCTTATTCTCACTAGCCACTGAATTCATGAATTGATATTACTGTGCTTGAATCTCATCCATGCACAGAAGTCGTCAATCAATACTACACAAAGGATGGTCAGGCACGTGTGAACCAGCCCCACCTCGGATGCATGCTCAGACTGCAGGTTGCTGCCCCTGGGGTTTAGCTACAGCCCTGCTCCCAGCCTCCAGGGTCAACAGTGTGGAAGGTGAGGAACTGTTGCAGCATTGCTCAGCGTGTGTGTGCCAGTCATGCTGAACAGCTACATCAGCCTCAGCATAACTGGGGAAGAGTATGACAGAAGAATGCAAAATTGAAGGCCGATGCTGGGACAAACATCCCGCATTTCCAGAAGGCTGCTCTTACTACTGAAAAACTAAAAATAACTAATAACTGAAGAGAATAGATTGCAAGAATTCCAGAGGCTAGCTCTGTGGACAAACAAACTCATTGAAAAAACACTAAGGACAGCATGCTCTGGATCCAGGTTGCTATAGAGACCGCTAGTTGAATCAGGTTGTTCCTCTGTATGCTGTGACTGCAGGATTTTGCAGACAGCCACATCACTCTCCCGTTCTCCCACCAAAGGACAGCTGAAGATAACAAAACGGGGTGGGCACATTAAAAATGAACTGCTCGAACTTCATTTCACATTTGTTAGGCAGCGTCAACTCCACAAACTGAAAGGAATTTTACTGTAGCCACCTGTTTTTTTCTGACCCTTTTAACATTTGTAGATTTGCACTGTCATCCCAGACTCCATCTGGCTCATCAGCAGCCGGAACTAATGGAAGAAAATTTAGGAACTGAGTCAATGGAGATGTTTTCCTGTTTTGTTTCATGTCGTTTGATGTCCTCCACCTTGGTTTAGGCTGGGCAAACAGAAAGAATTTAACACACACACCCGTTTCTGTTCCACATGAATGTGCACTAGGGTAATTAAAATAGCACCTACAGCTACAGCATTTGGGATTACCAGGATGTATCATCTGACCCCATGATATAGCATTGAGAAATGCAAGGAATTCAGAACATGTAGAACAGAAACATTATTGTATGTATAGCAACCTTGAATTACGCTCCACTGATGTGTCTGAAGCTGTTTATGGCCTATTTGATGTGAGCCATTGCAAGCTCTTCACCGGTGCAACACGTTAGTTCTTGAATCAGAGCTGAGGAACTAAAGTAGTTGGGAATCCATTCCACTAAAAAAAAAGTCTAAACAAATCCGGCGACAGAATTATCACTTCCAGCTGAACTTGGTTACACTCATTTTCATCACCGATGAATTTATGGACCAACCAACCAGCTATGTTTAAGGTTTGAAATGATTTGGGACCAGTTTCCTTCAAGGACTATTTGTCCCTGTATGAACTTACCTAAACCTGGAGAGTGGCTACAGACCCCTGTTCACATATCTATCATCAAGATCTATCAATCAGATGGGTAAAAAACCAGCAGCTTTCTAATGGGGGCTCTGTTCTCATGGAACTTGCTCCCATGGGAAAGAAAAGTACATTCCCCATTGGTGTTGTTTTAGAGAGGCTTAAGATACTGAAAAACAGCACAGAGCAAAATTCTAGACAGAAGTGGGACTGACAGTACAATCTTATGCATGTGTAAACAGAAGAAAAAATTATGTGGCATCCTGGAAAGCTGTATTGCTTCTTTCTAAGTAAGCACAGACAGAAACCTGATCATAATAACCTGATATAGTTTAAAATCGCTTATTGGTCTGAGACTTTTAAAACTGCTGCCAATTTAATGCAAGATGTATAGCAGTGAATGGTTTTTCTTTTATATTTAGTATGTTGATTTCATTTTTTATTGTGCATTATTATTATGAGGGCATTTGTCCCTAAAAATAGCATGTAAATACTAAGTACAAATAAATGCATCTATCAGCATTTTCATAAAATACTTAAGTGACGTTATCCATTTTTATTGTCTGAAACAAAATAGTAGAAAGAAATCACTAAAGGGTCGTCATGGGTCTGAGCATCATCGTCTGATAGGCTTGGTTACAGTAATGAAGAATTGCTCCTGTTAAAAAAATGGGCATGACAGAGATACATGGGCAATATTTAAATGAGCCACTTAACCTGACAGCGCTAATGCTTCCCGTTGAAATGAAACATTAGTCTTTAAATAAATGCACTTTGTTAAGTATTAGACAAAGCGAGTGCTTTCACGGCAAACCTTCTGATAAGGGCCATCTGTGATCAGCGAATATCACAGCAAGGTAGCACTTTGTGAATGGCCCCGAGCGGCACATGCCGCGTTTCCTGATGTACGCCTTTGACCAGGCTCCATTAGTGGATTGACTCAGACCTCCTCAGGCAAGGAGGCAGCCGCCTTCGTCGCGTTTCCATGGCAATGCATCACTTGAAAAGGATAGACGCAGGACCAAGGGTGAATCTGCATGCAATTCGTCTTGGCCAAACTTACAGAATATCACATGGGAGGAGAGTAAAATTTATTTGAACAAGTTGACAACTAGGCCCAGGTTTGGGCTATTTAGTGCTCCCAGTCACTGTTCAATATCATCGCTTTATCTTTTCTCACATTTTAGCTGTATCTTTACTTTTAACATCTTTGTATACACACGAACCAGAAAACGTCAGTTATAGGGCAGTAAACATAGTTTAAATAAGCAAACTTACAAAAACACAAAATAAGAGAAAAGTCTGCCTGGGATAGATTAAACCGAAACATTTCTAGCATAAGGCCCCAAACAAATTTTGGGTTGCCCATTATGAGGAATGGACTTGCAATGGCCAACAATGTGGGTTGCTTTGTGACACCAGAAAGAAAGGAACAGACACTATTCTCTGAAAGCCTTGCAGGTCGGCCAACATGAGATTCCAGAGCAGTGAACAAGTGTGTGTCTGCATTCACATGTCCACCAAAAACAGATGGATTCTTGCCCCTGTGGTACAAAGCAGGTGCATGGATGTCGACGAGGCTGGTAAATGAGAGAGCCAGTGTGGTGCAGTGGTTAAGAACGGGGACTCGGGTGATCTGGGTTCCAGTCCCCACCCAGCCATGGGGCTAACCGGGTGACCTGGGGCCAGGCACAGGCTCTTAGTCCAACCTGTGCATCTCTCTCCTTATTTTAATTATCGCATATCACCTATCCCATGGGAAGAAAAGAGAAGGAGCAGGATCTGGCCAAGGGGCCATCAGGGCTGGCTCCTGCCACATTTTCTCCACAGCAGACCAAGTGAC